CTAATATCAAATACTCCCAACATGTCGTCCTATATACCACAATGGGGAGTATTTACTATGGGGGGGGGTTTAGTATTCGCGGGAGGGGGTCAAAAGGGGTATATATGGGAGTGTTATAGGGTCCCGCTCCTCCAGCTGAGTCTACTGCTTTGCTGCTGAGGAACTTAAACTAAATTGCCATAATGGGTATATATAGTGTTTAGTACGGATTCGCCAATATAGTAGCTTAAGTTAAGTTCCTTAGCAGCAGCCCAGTTTAGGGTGTTTCCAAGGTATGGAATCTAGGGGTTTAGGGGTTCAAAGCGTTGACAGGACAAAGGAAATGAATTTTAGGATTAGGGTTTAGGCGTGAGGGTTCGGTTTTCACACCCATGCGGCTGTAGAAATTTGATCGCTTTTCTTCTTCGCGTTGAGAGTTTTTCAAACCATGGCCCCGTTGGTGGTGATGGCCTGGAAGTCTTACCGAAGTAGGACCCTGATAACACCTTCGTCGCCAACAGATGTCAGGTACTGTCTCCACTCAGCAGCAGTGGGATAATACCTTTCTACTACCCCTACTATAAACCCTAGAGCCTGAAACCCAACTGTTACTGGGTGGGGGCTTAGGGCTTCGGGTTTAGGGTTTGGCGCTTAGGGTAAGGTGCGCAATCAGAACCACCAATCGCTTCAAAGTCATCAGCGCTACGCTTTCAAGAGTTTGGCAGCTCAACGCATCTGAGTCTCCAGCAGAGCAGAGTATCCGGCTCGCACCGTGCAGTTTTAGGATAAAGGTTCACATGGAATAAGATCCTAGTTTCACTGTGGCTTGCACACGTTATGCTAGCGTGATAAGATGAGGTCAAGGCATGCTGCATGAGGATCCGACATCCCGAGGAACATGCCGGTCCAGAACTAGATGCCCCAACACCGGAGACCTTCCTTACTGGGTCTTACTAGGGCATACAGAAGGCAGTATTGCATATAGGGATTAGATACGGAGTATATCCCCTGATCCCCCATCGAGAACCAGTAAGTTTCAGGCTCTCGAGGTTGTCATATTTACGTGCGTTTGGGGGGGGGGGGCACTGACTAATTACTGTTGATGTAGGAGATCTTTCGCCACCAAAAGTCCGCTATGCACTATCTGCGAAACAAAGTACCTAAGGCACCTAAACTGGTGCAGGATTTCCTCCATGAAGAGTATTACCCAAACGGCACACCTTGTTGCTCATGTTTAAGCTTTTGAGCCCTACAGCCCTAAAGCCCTAATTCCTAAACCCCAATCCCTAAACCCTTATCCCTAAACCCTAATCTCGTAATGTTCCCTGGGTAACCCTTTTATACACGGTAGCACACATGAAGTGTATAACCCAGGCCGTGAGAGCCCTGAGCTTGTACCGAGACTGCTGGATGTTGCCATGGAACTCTGCCGACTTAGGGCTTAGGGTTTAGGCTTAGGGTTTAGGCTTAGGGTTTAGGCTTAGGGTATAGGTTTGAGTGCGTTTGGGGGGTTTAGGGTGTGGGGTGTTTGGGGTGTTCAGGGTTACGGGTTTTGGGGTTTAAGGTATAGGATGTAGGGCTCTAGGCTTTTTGGGCTTTACGGGTTCAGATTGAAGGGCTTATAGAGGCATTATATAGGTCTCTCTCTCTCTATCCTCTCTCTCTCTCTCTCTCT